ACCCAAACACTGAGGGAAGCCATGTGTTCTATTGAAGTGTTTCACTAGATCTATTACTTCATTTTCAGTTTTTGGCAGATGTAGATACTTATTTCCAAGGTGTAAACTGATGGCTTTGCATACTTTACGTATTATTTTAGAAGTTACCTGTCTTGAAACTCCAAAAGCATTGCGTGTCTTTCGAAGTCGACCTTTGTCGCTCAAGTAATATAGAGTTAAGGCAACTTGCTTCACAACATCCACAGGAGAACGCATGATGGTCTCTTTTCCCTCAATGTACGGTCTCAACTCTTCTGCTAGCTTCAGCAATGAGGTTTTAGACATTCTAAAGTTCTCTCTCCATTCTTCTTTGATCATTGTGCCATTGATAAAATTATCCCACCATGCGCTTGTCCTTCCTGGTCGCATCCAGAATTGCCTTCGGTGATGGTTCGCTCTTTTTTGACTTTATGATGCCCACTGTTCATTGATAACAATCTCAAAACATCCTGTCGATCTCTAATGTATTGGTTGTGTAAATTCATCACAGCTGCATTTATCTGAACGCATGATATCAAACTAGAAATCAGAGCAACCAGCAAAGAAGCTACAACCTTGCTGTACGCCATGTTTGTTTATAATGCTCGCCGTGAAGACTGGATCCAAGAGAATGATGAAAGCGTATTCGAAAATTTCCGGATACGACCATCCACACGTATATGTAGTCATATTGGATAAAAAAATTTCCACTCTGGAGAGCGTTTTCAAAAATTTCCGGATGCGGCTGGAAAATATACTGGATACGTGCCGACGCAAGCCATATTCGTAAAAAAAAAATTGCATTTTCACAAATTTCCGGATACGTGTGGATGACGCCTGAGATGTATCTTGCAGATACACTAAGCAGAGCATTTTTCCAATCATTCAGTTGAGAAGATTCTAGAGGAGATGTAGAGAAGGATACAAAGAGTATCAACATGGTCCAGGTGTGCCAACTTCCGGTGTCTGAGACGACACAGAATATTATTCGCACAGCTACAGAAGCAGACCCAGTCATGAAAGAACTGAAGACCACCATAAGAGAGGGTTGGACAGGAGATAAAGACTGCCTTCCCATAAAAATCAGGGATTACTTCCCATTTTGAGAAGGCATGATACTCCAGAATGGACTGGTTTTTAAAGGTGAATGGTTGGTTGTACGTGAAAGCGCCAGAGAAGAGATGAAGGCGAAGATTCATGCTAGCCATATAGGTATTCAGGGCTGCCTGAGCAGAGCAAGGGATGTAATTTACTGGCCAGGAATGAACAAAGACATCAAGAACTGCATCGCCAAATGTGTTGTCTGTAACAACCAGCCAATGGAACAAACCAAAGAACCAATGATCTGTCATGAGATACCAACCAGTCTGTGGGAGAAGATTGCAGTAAACCTGTTTGAGCTGAATGGTAGAGACTACATGATCACTGTTGATTACTTCTCTAGCTCCTTTGAAATTGATAGTCTAACTACCAAGACAGTTGATGAAGTCATCGGGAAGCTCAAAGCTCATCTAGCCAGACATGGCATACCAGACCAACTTGTATCAGACAGTAAGTCCATACATGGAAACCCCAGGCCGATATTAGCCCGTTTTTTACGCTATCAAGATCACGAGACAGTGCTTTGTGCTGGGTTTGAATTGAAAGACACTGAGTATATGATTTTGCAAGACTTCCCCCAGGAAACCATAGAGAGAAGGCGCAAACAAATGCCCAAATTAAAGGAAGCCAAAAAAAGGGGCCAAAAAATATCCTTTAGTAGACCAGAACCTGATAAACTCTTTATTGATGGCAAGTTCGTTTCTAAATAGGGGTTATATTAACTGTGACCTTTCTTCGTTATAGCAAGGCTGTAAGGTGTTATCAATTGGTTATTGTACATTATAACCAAGCACCAAAAGCTCTCTGGGAGAGATGTCGAATTATTAAATTAGTTCCATCCTCAAGGGCAGCGCTAAGGATATTTATCTTGCTGCTCTTTTAAGTTCTGTGTTTTTCAGGATTTTGTTGAAATGTAATTTCTCGTTTTTGCTCTTTTAGATGTTCTCCTTTGTGTTTACTATGTTTTTCAAAGCTATTCAGGCGACTAAATGAGGATATGTTCTTTACAGTCTGAAGGTATCATACTGACACTTAACTTTTCCCACCTTAAAGTTAATAAGCGTTTTTATGAATAAGTGATGTCATGATTAATTTCTATCATTAGCTTTAGAGTGATATCATTGTAACTTACATACTAGGTAACTGTATTGCTGTAAGAGTTTTATATGTGTGTTTAGCTTGGTATTCTTCTTTTTGTACTATATAAGTGTGTGTGTGTCTTCTTCCCTCTCTTAATCTAAGAAATGCTTTAATAAAGAAAACATTTTAAAAATAAAATATAAAAAAACTTGAATCCGACAACAGACAGCCATTTGCGTTAGACAAGTTCATTGAGTTTGCTAGCACTTACAGCTTTGAACTTGTGACAAGCTCCCCTACATATGCCCAGTCAAATGGGAAAAATGTTGAGGAGAAGTTAAGACTAACGAAGTCCAAGCAGTCTATGTATTACAACAGAGGTGCTAAGGAACTGGATAAATGACACCCAGGAGACAGAGTCCAAATCCAGCTGCAACACTCTCAGCTAGGAAAGAAGAAGGAATGGACTCCTACAAAAGTTGAAAGAAAAGTTGACACCCAATCGTACCTGGTCCAAACAGAGGATGGATGAATGTACAGAAGGAAACAGGAGACTTCTTAGGCACACACGTGAAGCCATGTGTGACAGCAAGTTGGAGATGTGGCCACCTTTACGAGCCGAGCCTAGCTGCCCAAATCCCTCAGATCGCGTAGTACTATGGAAAAGTGCCACTCCCAGTGCAGGCGAGAGTCAAGAAGTACACCCCAAAGCTCCAGTGCAGAAATCGCTAGTGAAACATCAAGAACCAGCTTCATTATCCCCATGGGTAGTGACTACACAGAGTGGTCGAGTAATCAAACCCCTGGTTTGTTTTGTGGACTGCTAGTCATTAACAGTGTACGGTCGAGAGTCAATGGACAGAACTAGTCATAAACTGTGTACAGTCAAGAGTAAACGAACAGGACTAGTCACTTCTCTAGTTTACTTCATTTATTTTATCTTTACTTTGCATAGGACTGCGACATAGAGATAATATTTTTCTTTTTTTTTTTTTTTCGTAAGAAGGGGAGATGTAACGATATGGATGTAATCGTTAATTAATTTCTGGTCTATGTTACATCACTAATGCCATGATAACCGGGACACTACGCTTTCGATTTTTGGGCTTTTTGACTTGTGTGTGTGCATTGAATAAACAACACGGTCGTAAACTGTTTCTGCCTTCTTGTTCTACATCCAACAACTTTACAATGGCTACTAGGTGCATTACTCCAGTTTTCTAATTTGCTCAAAGCACTTAAAAATAGGAAATTCCACTCCCTTAAAGATGATCAATAGCAAAGCCCTATAAACAACTCAACCACAACAGTTTCTTCTTACTATACCCACAAAAATAGAAAAGAAAAAAAGGAGACATGAAAGAGGAGAAAGAAGAATATTCCATCCTCTGCAAGAAGTAAATGAGGAAACTGGTGAAAGTTGTCAATGAGAACAAAACTGATCAGCGAATAAATGCAGTAAAACAGCTTGGTAATTCATAAAAGGAAACGAGTCAGGGGACCAAGGTTGAAAGAAATATTAGTGACAAAACTCACATCGAAGTAAGGGATTGGTTGATGACTCACCTCATCATCGACAATAGTGGAAGAAGTGGGGTCACTGCAAATATGATTGTAACTGAATTCATGGCCACCGTGTATCACCCAGGTACAGACAAAGACTTGGCTTGTTACAGAATACTTGTAAGTAACCTCAAGAGAGCCGAGCAGTATGGTTCTGCAGTTATATGGGCATATGACGATTTGCACAAAATGGTGAACATATACCAAGAACTGTACAAAGCCAGTTCATGGCAGCTACCTCACAGGTTGAGCAGCTATTCGTTTTGAGCGATGGGATGCCTCTTACAACTTCTCAGGTATCAACATCCGTATGGCGAACATTCCAGAGGGAAAGGATTGTGACAGAGGGAAGAATATCTGCCACAATTATAAGGAATTCTCTTGCTACTGGTATGCACGTCCACATGCCAGATGGAAAGGATCATCTTGCTGTGCTAGCCCAGCATAAGACCCTGACATGAGCCAGATATGATTGTGTCCACAATAAGCTTGTTGAAACTGACCTTGGACAAAGGGCAGTGAGCAAACTTGTTGCCCTGAAATCGAGCAGCATTCATCAGCCACAGGATGATCTCAAGGACTGTAGAGCAGCCTCAAAGCCTTGGAAGAGGGAAGAAACGGAACAACTAATGGAGCTATTCAAAGAAGACCTCGAGACAGGTGCTGTTGAGGAGGCTAAAGTGAAGGAAAAACTGTCAACAGCAACACTTCTAGAGGAACGCCCCTTAAAGGCTGTAGTTCTGAAGCTCCAGAGACTAAGAGAAGAATACATTGAAGATTGCGAGCCTCCTTCTGACGTCTTCTCCAGCAAAAGTTCAGAGGTATCTTTATTCAGCCCAACCAGAAGCTGCACTGTCAACCGTAACACACATCTCAGGCACCGTATCTGCTGAATCTTCAAGGTTCTGGCAAAAGTTCACGGAGGAGCAGGCAAACCATCTTTTAACATTAACCAAAGACCTTATTGAAGCTAACGTTATCAAGAAAGAAGTTGTTTGGTAGAGGGTGAAAGAAGACAAAAGGTAATTATTGTTTTTCGCCCTGCACAAAGCAAAAACGAACAAACATAAATGCAAAAATTAAGGTAAACAAGGAAAGAAGAGAGAGTTCCCTAGTAGGAAACAGTAAGGCATATAACATAACCGAAGACCCCTTGTTATCTCACCGATGAAAAGGCTTTACATTAAAATTAGTGAAATAAATGACATGGTCCCCGCACTGTGTAATCAATTTACTGC